AGATCGCGCTTAACTCTTCTCTGCTTTAGGAACTCTTCCTTTTTGATTCTTCTGGTAAACTTAACTATTATACCTCGGGGCTGGATTCCACTTCTGTGCTTAGGTCCAAGTCTGTGACACGCATCCACTGACTCTTCCGTTAATGCTACGTCTAAGCTTCTTCCAACACTTTTTACCACTTCTAAAACATCTTCTTTCTCAATCTCGGGTATTCCATTTATCTCGATACAATTTATACGAGAATACTGGTTTGACTCATCTTCACGCCACTCAAGTTCCTTTATGCGTAGGTGTAGTTTTTTATTTTCTTCAAACAAAGAATCAAACATTTTTTCAAATTTATTTAAAGACTCAGTCTGTTTTTGAACTGTTTTCCTTAGGTCCTCAATGGTTTCATGGCAATTTTCAACCGATTTACCAAGTTCGGTTTCCAGGTTCTTTATTTGGTCTTTATTTTCTTGTCTTAGTTCCTTGAGTAGGTTGATAACATCTTGGATGTCTGGCTTATTTTCTTCAAGTTTTGATTCGACCTGCATACTTTTTCTTCGCTCCTTACTACAACCATCACATCTCCATATTTGCTTTTCTTTTTGCATGAATTCTGCATCTTCTTTTGATATATTTACACAAGATCCATGAAAATATAATAAACAATCCTTGCACTGCACTTTAGGATGCCGATTTGTGATGTTTTTTTGGCAGCTCTTACACTTTTCAGACATTTTATTTAGCAACACCGAACAAAAACTATATAAAACACTTAAATGAAGGACGCACTGAGAACGGAATTTATTTAACAAGATAATACTTAAAAGAGTTGAATTTAGGAAGCCAAAAACATAAACATTAAATGAGCAGGAATAGCTTATCAATACCTTATCAGTGGCATCTGACCGACCGGCAGGGCAACCGTACACTCCGAGCGCTGGCTCATAAATTAAATAACTAGCTATCATCCAGGTCGGGAACCGGAGATTCTGTGTGTATCAAGTTGTATTTGAATTTTGATTACCTGGAAAAGACCGCGAATCAGTGTTGTACAGGACTGGAAAACTTATCTTTCTATATAAAAAAATTAGAGCTTTATAGGTCACCTCAATTTAAGGAATTTTTAATTGCCAGAATATCTATATAGCGTTTGTAAAATATGCTTAACGAATTGTCAGCGTCTTTCTCTTGATATAACGACCCCCTCTCCCTCCCTTTGGAAACATCACAGCTCATTTGATGAAAATGAAATGGAAACAACGCTTGCGCCAACAATCGTCTGCTCCGTTTTACACTTCTGTCTGCTGTGCGCTATGTTATAACAGATTTCAGATACAACAGCTGGGGAATGATGACGATATAATGCTTAGTGATTGAGTGATTAGTAACCATGGTAACTTTAGTAAGGTTGTGATTGGGCAATGAGTAGGCCTAAAAATATGGCGACTTGTTGAATTTGTGTATGAATTGAAGAGAAACCTAATAAAGAACAGAAGAACAAAGAAAAAGAATAACAAGACTGTTCTAGTTACATTCTTTTTTTAAAGGGTTTTTATTATCTCTAAATATAATTTTACACTTTTTTTTAACTTATCTATCAAATTCATATGCTGTGATACAGCACCTATCGGTAGCCTATCTGTCTATCATGAGCAGTAGCTTATAACACTTTCTAAAGGTTCCTTTAATATTTACGTTATCTATAGCAATGCCGTGTTTGGCTAGTTATTATTGGTTGAGTTTGAGTTAGCTATAATTTTAAACGTTGCCGTTTGTACAACTGAACACTGAACCAAAATAAATGATTTTAAATGTATAATAATAATGTAATTGCACAATAAATAATGATTGTGCAATATTGAATTTCGTTTACAAAAATGCAAATCATGACGTTAATGGCTGTTTACAGCGTTTTAATGGGTTTGTCATCTCTTTTTATACTATATTGGATCAACCGTATTTTTCATTACCCCCCTCCCTATTAACTCAGGTAATCGAGTATCTACACAATAGTGTAAAGTATTGTAGCCTATGCTACTTGTTTGTATTTTAACGAGCTTTATGTCAACAAAGCGTTCTGTGCTGAGTCGCGGTGTAGCTGGACGTGTCTGTCACACGTAATCTTTTATCTATCACAGCAGTTGAGTCATCCCGTGCGCTCCCTCTTAGATCTCACGTCTTGATAATCTTGAATAATAACTTCCTACATGAATCCTAAACTATCCTAAAATCCTATTTTAACTAATTGAATTCAATAATATAAATATTGTTATTAATTAATCTACTTTCCATCTGGAAATTTCGTAATATATTTTTGATTGTCGTCACGTTAAACACTGTTTCAATTAACTTTAGCCCCCCCCATTTGAATTTTTGCAACCCCCCCCCCCTAAAATTTCAATGACGCAGTCTGCGTCACAGCCCCCCCTTGTGGGCACCCCTGAGGTGTGGTAAACTTAGAATAATCCATAAATATTTTGCTATTCAAGCCACTGTCAACTTACGCTCACTTACTCACACACTTCAGTTTCAAAAATAAGTCTCCAGGCCTGAAATGCTCACAGTGATAACAATATTATGTTAAGTGATTTATGTTGTGTAGACTAGATTGATGATTTGACAGATACCTAACAGACAACATCAAGCAAAAGATCAATTTTAAGATGTGGAGATATCTAACTTGCCTTGCCGAGATTAGGCTATGCAATTTATACCTACTGATCAGAGGTCTAAACTTTACTATTAGTAATGGTACAATATTTGCATGAAATTAAAAGTTACAATTTACCATCAGAAATATGATTTTTATCCACATTTCAATAGAACGATGTAAACATGTTGATACCGGTGTTTATTGAGAACTAAAACAAAAAATAAAATAGCCAATATATTTATGCTCACCATATAATCTACTGCTGTAACAGATAAACAAATGTAAATGACAATATCACTCATGTGCACACCACCTAAGAAGATTTGTAAGAACACCTAATTGTCTTTCTTTGTTATCTCACAGTACTATACTAAACATTGCATTCATATATGCTGTGTCTTTCAGTCTTAGTTAAAGTTTAATATGTGTCAGTTTTTGAAAATAACTTATAAATTCCGTTGCGCATGACCTCATATAAGATTTTCGGTAGACCGGTATTCAGAAAGTAATGTTTTTGTGGTGAGGGGAGGGAAGAGAAGCACTCTTGATAGTTCCAATGATTTTATACTGTTTTCTTTTTATTTATTGAAGCACAAATCTTACTTCAAAGTTACCATATAGCAATAGTTAGTCAATTATTTATTTTGAATAGCTTTAATTTACATTATAGTATTGTAAAACCTTCAAGCATTGAAAAGATCAGTCGGTGAAATAGAACGTTACAATAAATTTATTGTGCAGGAATCCTTTACATTATATTTATCTATAGTCAACAGGCTGCATGTCTCGGTGCATATGTTCTATTTATTACATAAGAATAGTGTGCTTGTTATTAACATTAATGTGAACAACTGACATGGATCTTCATATGTGATGGATATGTATAACTAACTGATTTGAATATTGAGTTTGTGAATAGACTTGTATAAAATTGAACTATACCTACTTTAATTATTGTGTTATAATTTTGTATAATTTTATCTGAATATTGTTTGTAATTAATAAGTTTTAATTTTTTAGGGACATAAGTAAAGCCAAAATGTATGTCTGAACAACTTACCTATATCAATTTGAGGTAAATTATCTTTTTAAATTGTTTACGATGTATGCATTTTTTTACTGTACATTAGAAATACATTTTGTAGTTACATTGTTATCATAGACAACTTTAGTAAGTACTTAAAAAGTCACCAAAGTTGCTGTATCAGTAATTAGTCATAAGAACTTGTATATATTTGTAAATTAGTGAATGTGTTTTTACCTTTACAACTGTACAATAAAACACCTTCAAAGAATGCTCTTGTTCTGTCACCTTTGCCTCAAAAGGAAGTGTGAAATGTACAAGTTTTATTACAGAGATCACAGGACATGTTTAAGTTTCTGGTAGGCACTCAAAGTACTGGTTAAGTACTCCACTACTGTACTTTGGATTGTTTGTAGCAGCAGTTCTTACTTATGTTTGCAGTTACATACATTGTTAAACAAAACGAAGTAATAATATGGCAACGTCTAAGAACTTATTTTCTTGAATTTTCCTTCTGAAAGCAGGTTTTCACTGAAGATTTCCTGAGGTTGAGATAAGCTTCTAATAAAAGTAAATATAGATATTACAAAGTAAAGTTAACCTTTTGAATTCCATGAACCATTCCAGTGATTAAAATATGCCTACTTTTGTCATATTGTTCCTCATCCTATAAACACAAAATTCCAAATATTTTTGAAACTAATTTTCAGGAACCACAAAAAGGATAAGCAAAAATCCCAAGCACAGGAATTGTGAACTTGACTTTAAGGTTTACAGTATATGAATCTTATCAGTTTTTGTTGAGTTTTACTTGCTCAGGTAGTTGAAAGTGGAGTTTGATTATTTTTTATTTTATTTTTTTTAAGAGGTTGACTCTTAATTTTGCATTTGCCTATCCACATACACTATGGACCTATGCGTGGAACATATCCAGCAAAGCAAGGGGTGATCCGGTCCAGTACAAAGGTGAACTGTCCTGATTAAAAGTAGTGGCAGTGATCCCTGTCCCTGCCTTTAACCCGAAGTCTGTGACGCTACCGACTGAGCCACTGACTCCAATACAGCTTGTGATATATCAGTCTTTGGAGTTCAAAGGATTATTTCAATATCACGTTACTGATATTATTGCTGCAAACTTCTAAAGTGGCATTTCAATATATTTTACTCCTATTCTTATTTATTTATTTATTTATTTATACCAACGGTCAAACCAATACATAAATATGACAAAACTTATAACGGCATTGATTGTTTCTTCATTGAATAAAAAAGGACTGTTGAGGTAAGCGTGTCATACTGTTCATATGTGCCATGGACATTAAGTGAAATAAAATAACTGTTTAAACAATGTTACTACAAGTGTTGTCACCATGTACACAAGAAAACAATTAATAAAGTTTATGGGCTAAGTAATTAAATTAAGTAGATTATCTTGGGTACTTACTTACGCTATACTTAGTTTTTACAATTATACAAATTATTTATTAGTTTTTTTAACTTTGTAACACAATCGCAGAATTTTGTTGAAGATGGTATATTCATAGTCAACTATACACTGTCTCAGAGCTCTCAGAACAGTACAAACTATCCACAGGACGAGAGATAAGAATACGATGATCACTGATATAACGTCCAAGCAGATCAGCTGAAACAGAATAGTAATTAAGACAGATAAAAACAATATTCCATTGAGGGATGTTTATTAGTTGCTCAATTATTGAAGTCGTGTAATATCGGTCGTATATAGTGGGGTGGGAATTCTGCTTTTTACAATAACCCTATATTTTAATAGGGGACCTAAGTTTCTTCCAAGACGATAGTGAGTGTGTTCACAATAGAAAATTTACGAATACACCACTGTGTAAGGTGCTATAGGTAAATGTTCATTGAATGCCAATGGTGTAGAAGAGCAACAAAAAATAGTTTTAGTTTGGCATAATAAGATATAGTTTGTTCATCAGAAAGAAAACAGTATTTACAGCAGCGCACACTGTCAGTACCGGCAGGCCCACTTTTATAAATGGGCAGACTGGGCATATGCCCAGGGGCGCCAAAGGCCACCGCCTGCCCACACAAGGATAAAATGGGGGCGCTGCTTTTGGGTTTGCCCAGGGCTCCACTGATCCTTAACACGGCCCTGAGTACCAGTAGCTCATTACTTTAATACTTAACTTTACTTTAATAATTTCCTTTGAAATGGCAACCATACGAATGTAGGTATTTTAAGCCAAGTATGAATGGAGAATAGTGTAGGATGAGTGGGGCGATCTTGTAGTCTTGTTTTTTAACACTCGACTAATGTCAACATATTCATTAGACACTACATGTAAATTTTCATGTAGGCCTACATTACTTGTCTCTAACACTAGCTACAACTCTAACATGGGATTGGAGCCGCCGATTACCTATAGGTATCGGTTTTCGATACCTATAGGTGACAACCGGTACCAAAGTTGTCAACTAACTTCAATTGTTTACAATTGAAGTTAGTTGTAAATAACTAACTAGTATTTAACAGTTAGTTATATACTGTTAACTATTGCTGTTCTATGGATAAACTATCTCAGTTTTTTTTATGATTTTTACTTGATTTTATGACACTATTCTTGTACGTATGTATGTACAAATGAACAAATGAATAAAGTGATTTTGATTTCTTCAAAAACAAAGAGGGCAGGAATCACTGACCTGGTACCAGGGAATCGTAGAGTAGGAGCTCTGTAGATGAGTAGCTCCTCGGTGTCTGATCACATACTCTGTCCAAAAAACAGCAGTATCTAGAGGACGCATCGGCTGGTCCTTTAACACTTTTGAAGCCTTCTGCAGGTTTTCTTTATATCTAGAAACGATGAATAGTTTTTTTTTATGGTGTATGCAGTTTTATCTTAAAGAAACATTAGAGTAAAATTAGGAGTTAACAATAATTTGGAAAGAAGAAATAATTAAAAAAATGGATTACCAGATCCTTCCTCAATTTTTTTTACTGATCACCATTTTCTTAATAATGAATAAGATTCTTGATTCTCAAAAAAGTTTGGTATTAATTTATGACAATTCCACATATGTACAGTTATGACCAGGGGAATAAAAGAGGCATGCCTGTGTTTACAAGCTTTTAGATATTTTTAAAAATTGTAGATGACAATCTGCTTTTTTATGACTTTTTAAGGGAGTTGAAATATAAGATGGAGGTGAAACATTGACATGAACGTCAAACAATGCTTCAATCTGAGTTTTAACCTCTTTTACAAGCTAAAAAAATTAAAAGAGTTGTTCTAAAAATGAAAGGGCGTTTTAAATACTAAATTGCTTGAAATCGAAGTGACTTCAATAAAAAATAACCTTTGATTAATTTTGGACTACAAACACAGGTAAGCTCGTCATAACAGGAGTCCAAGAGACATAACGCGGATTTTTATAATCCTAATTATTACTTAGGATTTAGTAGAACTTCCTGGATGGCAGCATGTAGGTGTCCAGGTGACCAAGGGCCGGAGAAGTAAAGCCCTTGGCCTCGGCCTTGCATCTCATCCAGGTTGTGCTCCTGGTCAAAGAATACAGGCAACAATCCGAGCAGAGGAACACCAAAGTACACAGCCTCCTCCCAGCTGTGCAGCCCTCCGTGAGTCATGAACAGCCGACAGTGCTTGTGTGCTGTGTACAATACACAGTCAATTACTAACACTACCTTAGACCATAGACTAACAAACCACAAGTAGACTTCTCATCCCATTGTAAATTTTGAAGCTCGTTTTTCGTGTCTAGTTCGTGTCTGGTGACACTTAGCGTTAGTATCGACGAAATTTTGTTTATATTATTTTAGGGTTAATTTCATGATTTGTGCTTTACTGTTTGGTTAGTAGTAGACATGCTAGTTTACAATTAACTTAACCTATTGAACTACTGTATTATGATCTATTGCATGCGCCCCACGTTTTTCCTTTTAATTCTTACAAGTATTTATTCTCTCAACATATTTATGAATTATTTTATACTTTTTAGTGTGTTTAAAAACGTGACAATTTTAAAAAGTATTTTTATTTATAAATTATTTTCTAATTTTTAGTCTTTAATGTGTAAATATGTTAAATTTATTTTATATGGCCTGTTAATACATAACTAAAACCTTATTATCTGTAATCAGATGATTTATCTACTTGTTTTATATTTTTAGAATATCTCGGGAGCAGAACCTGTTACCTCAGCTCTTCGAACTGTCAAATTTAAGTATTTACAGCTGACTTAAATTAAAAATAAATTTTAATTTGGAAGCCCATGGGGCGTAGCCTAAAGTAAATATGAAAATTAAATTATATACTATTGCATTGTCATCCATTTGTGAGCTATGTTTCAAGTTTCAAGTCTCTAGCTCATCGGGAACTTTGTTTAAAATTGATATCAAAATTTGTAGGAAAGCGAGCTAATAAAAACAAGCCCATGGGGTGTAGCCTAAGGGAAATATGAAAATCAAATTATATAATATTGCATTGTCATCCATTTGTGAGCTATGTTTCAAGTTTGAAGTCTCTAGCTCATCGGGAAGTTAGTATAAAATTGATTGCAAAATTTGTACCGGACAAGAAAGCGAGCTAATAAAAACGTTTTAAAATCAATATGTAGTTGAATTGGGTCTCTGACAAACTGTGATATAAATTACTGTTTAATGTTGAATACACCAACTGTTTTAGACAATCCAGACTGAAAGGACTTATAGTATGCATGGAGATGAGTGGGCTTATATAATTATAATCACAGTAGCCAAAACTAAAGGGAGGGATAGAAAAATGCACCCTCCTGTGAGTGGTTTATTCAACTATGTCATCTCTGAGGAAAAAACTTGTCCATTTTGATATCTACATAAGTATTCCAGTCAATCTAATATATAAAATTCTTGTGTCACAGTGTTTGTCTGCAAACTCCTCCGGAACGACTTCACCGATCGTTATGAAATTTGGTGTGTAAATTCTGTAGGTATGCGAATCGGACGTAAACTATTTCCCGTTTCGAAATTCTTAAAAGGGCTCCGCCCCAGTGGCTCTGGAGTTTCCCATGTTAACCTTATGAGAAATGGAATTAATGAATCTTAACAGCTGTTTCAATTAAACAAGTTGGTTCTGTTCTATGATGTTCAATAGCATTAAAGTTACAAGGATTACCAACAGGGTGCAGCACTATTATTTCTTTTACATTTATGACAACAGCTAATTTGCAACCAAAAGGTGAGTGAGCGTAGCGAACGAACTTCAACCTGGAGGCGAGTTAGCGTAGCGAACGAGCTAACCTGAAGGCAAGTGAGCGCAGCGAACGAGCTCCAACCTGAAGGCAAGTGAGCGCAGCGAACGAGCTCCAACCTAAAGGTGAGTGAGCGTAGCGAACGAACTCCAACCCAAAGGTGAGTGAGCGTAGCGAACGAACTTCAACCAGGACGTGATTGAGCGATGCGAACGAGATCATCTTGAAAATTAAACGTAACGGTACTTTCTTTCCATCGGTCTGTCTTAGGGGAAACCTATAACTTAGGCGATACGAAGTTCGCCGGGTCAGCTAGTGATTACATAATATTAACTTAACTATAGCATTTTCTCTAAGATCGGTTAAAAATATCAAAGTTTTTATTTTGAAAACATTTCAGATCAATAACAAACTAAAAAAAGACTCCCGGATGTTAATTAAACAGGCCTTGATTACTTTCAGTGTAGTCTTGTTCCAACAGGAGAAGGATTGTTGTTTATCTTTGCTAAAACTACTACTGCCTGGGAGTGAAGTGATGAATACCTACTTGGTTAAAGATCTGGAAGATGAAGATGGGAAAACCTCATTGAATAATAATGTAGGTACTAAAATAATTTGTTGGAATTGTCTTGTACAGGAGCTTCTGCCAATACGTAATTTGCCTTTTTGAAAATCTGACACAGAAACATAACTAAAAGGGTGTCAGATTTGAACCAAAAATATTAAAACTAACTTATAAACTGAGAAAAGTTAAGTTTGATTGCCTTCTTATGAAGCTTTTGTTCTTCAACTATTGGGGTTTAAAAATTAAGTTTATGAATTTTAATTAAATGAATGTCCATAACTGTTTAGACATTGGCTGATATGACACTTACTGCGGGCAAATTGTGTCAGACTAACAAACTTTGGATTACTGGGTCTCTAGAAAAAACAGATAATGAAGTGTACATACTTGTTGCCTTGCTGTATGGATAAACAAGTGTCAAATTGCCGAGTGTTTAGAACCAACATATGTGTCAAATTGCCGAGTTTTTAGAACCAACATGTGTCAAATGGCCTAGTGTGTAGAACCAACATGTATCAAATTGCCGAGTGTGTGGAAGTAAGTGTTTAATTATTGAGAACCAATTCTAGTTTAAAAATGACAGGATTATCTCCCAAGCACAACCCACCTAACACAGCAGCTTGAGGAATCCACTTCTGTGAGCGAACGTTGTCGGGCTTCCCAGGAAGTTTTTCTCCCTCCCATTTCATCAGCACCCTTTGCGGCAATCGAGCAAAAGTTTCTAAAATCTCTTTCAGTTTCACATATTCCAAGGAGGACACCTTGAGATTGCTTCCGAGGCTGAATAGAATCACTCCTTCATCACTCTCATCCATCCACGCTTGTAGGTCCTGCAATAGTTTGTCAGATAAAGTATAGCCAAGAATGGTTTAAGAACATCTCATTTGTTGCCGGTACTTGTTCTATTTTGAGACTTGTATTATAATCGTTTATTTATTCATTGTTAAAACGTTGATATCCCAATTACCAGTTTTCCATGGAGGGGTTCAAACAATAATAATTGCCAAAATTCCTTTTTCAATTATCATCCACAGTCCAGTAATTATGTGCCACCAAGGTGGTTACAAATCATGAGCATCAAAAATTTACTGTACGATCCAGACCGAATCATCCATGACTTCTCTAAATCATCGTTCTTTTACTACTATAAAATTGGATGATTTATCATTCACAGTGCAGTACTAATTCTATTGATAGTAAAATTACAACATGAATTAAAAAGTTAATATGACTTAAATTTTCATTATATTGAATTTTAGCCTCCTGATCGCATTGAAATACTAAAGAATTGGTGTAAATACCTGCATTTATGGGATCAATGTTTTGTTAAATTGCAACCGGTTTCAACTCACATATAGGAGTCATCGTCGGGCCAGTACAGATCTTGTACTGTCTTCTCGCTTCATTCGAAGGTCGTCGTTCGAGTGAAGCGAGAAGACATCTGTACTGGCCCGACGATGACTCCTATGTGAGTCCAAACCGGTTGCAATTTAGCAAAACATTGATCGCATAAATGTAGGTATTTACACCAATTCTTTAGAACTTAAAATTTTTATCTCCATCCTTGTCATACTTTGATTAAAGATGGGTACATTCATTTTCTACACCTTGACATCTATTCAGTATGGTGGTCAATGTTCAGATGGTTTTTTCCTAGGCTAGGAAGTGGAGCGCGGAACGTGGTGAGTGGAGAGCGGAGGAGTGATTTCAATGGCAGTCCGCTCGACCTGCTTCTTGGAAAACAATACCATTAAATGACTTAAAGACATGAGAAGAGCAGACACCACACTCCGCATTCCGCTTCCGTGCCTAGGAAAACCCAGCTTTAGACATAACATAATCAGTTAGGAGAATTGGGACCTTTTCCTTAATAAAAAAATAAATGTCACTGGTTATCAAATACAAAAGATTGTAAAGATCTTAGTTTCATTGCAATTTTTTCTCATTAACATCTTCTACTATGCAACACTATTATCACTTTACTTTGAAGCCTTCCTTGTTAACGATTCTAAGACTTCAACATTAAGTCTCCGAAATCTACTTGGAAGTTTCTTCATAATATGATGCACCTGTTGTGATTAATACTTATGACTTTAAACTTCTTGTCCATAGTCCCGTCTTAGACCTTTTACATTTGTGTAACACTACTTTTTTACTGCCATCCAGTTTTTAGAGCAACAGAACATTTATGAAGCGTTAAATAGTAAATTAACGGAAAAGGTCCTCAATTCCATAACTACAAGACCAACCACTTTTACCTGCGGCAGACTTTGGTTTCCAGAGATTGTCAGACCTCCCACAGGGATGACCCCTGGAAGGGTTGGCTGGGGATGATGTATAGCGATGTTGGTGTTGACCAAGGAGACAGGCATGCGACTCAACATGTCCTGTAGTGGAGGAGCATCTGGAAAGTAGCGCTGCACCACCCGAGCCATAGGAGGCAAATAGTAAACACTAAGGCCCACAGCGTAGGCAGTATTGAATACGACGTTGACTGTACGCTTCCACAAGTTCATGTTGTCGCCAAAGGGTAGATGTAGCTCCGATATATAAGCCAGAGGGTTCGGGTGACCTCCAGGATGGCTTGCGTGGATTGAAAACCTATTCGAGTAGATATTGAGGACGGGAAGACGCAAATGATGCGCTAGAGCTATGGAGCACTCGAGAAAGTAGTAGGGGGACCCGATAAACAAGTCATATTTATCGTGAGCGTTCATTAATTCTTTGATTTCAGGAATTTCAAATAGCTTTTCACAATCGGAAATAACACCCTTCCATCCATAAATGATGCGGGGTATAAAAGATAGTTTCTTAAAAACCTCGAACACTGAAAAAAAGGAAATATAGTTAGTTGATGGAAGATTTGAGTGATGGAAAGATTCAGGGCTTATACATCAATGGTGCAGGGCTACAAATATCAAACGTTAGGGATCATTTGTTCTTTGAACATTTATAACAAAGTAATAAAAAGATTTTTAACAAATAAATGTAATTGTTAAATCGTTTTTTAACACTTCTATACAAGCATTACCGGTAATAAAATGTAAAACAGTGACTACAATCTTGATCTAGTTTGGATTACATCAAATCAAAAACAGTTCAATTAAAAAAATCAAAAACCCAAAACAAAATGGAAAGTTTATTAAGGAAATGAGAAGAATTAAAAAGAATATCTTCGGAAGAAACAGCAGATAAACTTACTATTCACAATTATATAATTTTACAAATTCCTATCAGTTAGTATTTTACTGGGACTTGGAACAATTATGTCTTGTTTTCTAAGACTTACCTTCTACATTATTTTCTCTTTTGATAACCACCTGTGTTATGTTATGTTTATCTGCGTCCCGTAGAGGAATCTTGGTGACTACTGTGAGCTCATGCCCTCTCCGGGATAGCTCCTGGAACAGTGGGTTGAAGCTGAGCAGGAGGCTTCCGGATACCCCGGGATAGAAGACTAGGATCCGTGATCCACTGCATACACTGCATAGGTACAACAGTGCTAGTATACCCTTCATCTGTGAATACCAAGTGACCAAGTTAAACACTTTCTAACATAAGCTGGAGTCTATGTACCTATCTGTCTGCTTAGAATAAATATATAACGTTTTTCGAGTCAACAAGTTCAAATAATGAATAAAAGTAGATTTTTTTCTTAATTTGAATCATTATAGGCCACACATTTTAACTTCTTATTTTCGGTTTTAATAGCTGTCTTTACACCCAAAACGCTCATGAAATTTTACATTTTAATTACAGGCCCCGGTAATTTTGATTATTATTAATATACTCTGCAATACTTTTATATTGTAAAATGTTAACAACATTTTATAAACAGGTCCAATCAAGGAAAAATTACTTGATACTATTCTTTTAAATTTATCAAATTTAAGCATTAGCATAAGATTTAGCACTTTAATACTGCAATTTCTGTATTAAAGTGCAAACTGTAAAAGTATATCTGAAAATTATCCTCCTGATAGCCACATTCATTTCATTATAGCTGGTATGCTTTATTTGATTTGATAAAATCAAACTACGATCCTTATGTTTATAACTTAAATAATATTCTTAGTTTGAATTACTTGCCTGAATACTGAACATTCTTACAATATGCATGGTAGGTAGCTAGTTCAAGTTTATTGAGTGCTATTTTCTTGATCGGTACCGGTATGCATTATAAAAAGCTGACTAGCTTTTAGTCGGCAATAATTAGCAAAGAAATTGCTTATACTACATTATAATGCCTATTAATGTTGTTTGTAGATCCTATATTCAGTTTGATTATCTATCTCCTATAAATAATGGTAGGCTGTATTTTTCATGTCTCGATTTCCAAAAATCTTCTAATCAATTAATTGGCATGATTGACAGAACAAAGTCTCATCCTCAAATACGAGTACATTGGCCCAAACGATTTTGATAAAAATTTAGTATGTTATAGTCCTTTATATTCTGAACAAAATGGTACAAATCCCATTTCTGTAAAAATTACGGTTAAAAAGTTATTGTAAATTATGTTATTTTCCCATAAAACCCCATAAAAATTGGATTTTCCCAAAAATGGCCTGAACGATTTTGATAAAAATTTAGTATGTTATAGTCCTTTAAATTCTGAACAAAATTTTACAAATCCCATTTCTGTATATTTACTCTCACCGCTTACACATGATAAAGGTGGTTGACAAACTTATGGGAGAAAGTATGTGTCAGAATGCTGATACCGTTTATTTAATTTTACAATAATTATATTTATTAACAAAAATTAAAAATTCTTCAAACTAATAAACAAATAATTTAATTAACAGAATATTTAGTTACTTAACTATTTTTAAATTTAAATTACAGAAATGGACAGGCAATTTTAAAACTTTTTTATTTCTAAATATATATATATATATATTGGTGACTTCTGGCAAATATTTGCAAACTGGGACAGGCAATGATCATATCCATAGAATACAATAATTATAGTCAATTATATAATACTCAACAGTATTCCTTTAAAATAAAACCAAAATAGTTCAATTAACAGTTAAGAATTTGGAATTGATGTATTAATTTAACTCATTAATCAATTGTAAATTATATAATGTTCTACAATGTGCCTAACCTATCTAATATATCAAACTTGATTATGCATCAAACACTGATAAGTATCTAAGAAATAAATAAATGTTATTAAATTCCAAATCTGAACAACCACTTTTTAATAGTTTTTCATTTTAATCTATATCTATAACAAAACAGTTTAATTACGAAATTAAACTGTTATAAATCAAACTGCCCATTATTATTAGAGTACAACACATTTATTGAACTGCTTTAGTTGCAAAGAAGACATTTTAGATTTAAATCTATTAAATGAAACAGTATCCTTCCAGGATTTACAATAATCATACAATATAAATTATACTCACATTGTTACAATTTACCATAACAGGGTAAATTGTTTATTCCAACTACCTCTGTCACTTTGGAACACAACAACACAACTAGTATTTAAATGTTTGCCATTGTGATCGGGAGCGACTCACTGTTGTTTTTTTGGATTTTATGGACACTGATAAACGGATTAGCCTTTGAACTGACCCTTTCTGTCTTATGTAATTTTCAGTTAGAGATTAAAGCTTTTACGTTGTAAACATGTAACTAAGGAGTTGAAGGGACAAGGAATAAGTTACTGTTTGTATGAGGCTTATGGCAAAAACCCAAGTGCATCTAACAAGAGGTTGATATGGTTGGGGTTTCCAAAGTTCAATCCAGCAGAGAGCCTGTTATTATGATAATATTGCTAATAAATACATAATTTGTTAATCTAAAGGAGCAACAACATGTTTTAGTGGTTTTGTCCACAGGAGGTTTTAATCTTCTTTGACTAAAATTATTCAAGTTAAGAAAACCTGTATACAGTAGTGACAATACTGATCAGTTCATTTTTGACAAGGAGTTTTTTTTTGTCTTTGCTGAAAATATTCATCACCAGACTTTAAAAAAGCTGAATCTTGAAAGTTCAAAACATTTTAAATACCCCGTCTCCTGCTCACTAAGCAAATTTCCATTTGTCTGAATTGATTTTCAATTAAAATAAAATAAACATTAGGTTTAACGAGTACCTTGGTTTGCTGCTACAAAGAAACTAATAAAGTGTGGTTTTTAGTAAAATATTAACAGCTTAGTATAAAATAAATAAATTTGCCAAGTTTGATCAAAATATATCCATTAACAAGCAAACTAACATTTTACAATATTCTCCATAAGAATAACATGGGAATTTTAAATTTACAATTTTTTTAATTTTCTTCACTACCAATAACCATACAAAAACACTTAAGATATTCTAATATTTCTTTTTTAAGCTCTTTAAAAAAGGCTAAAGAGAAATGGGAAAATTTTGTGTTTTAAGGGTCAAAAATGAGAAAAAACAATTTTTGACCCATAAAAACTCCCGCAAAACCCCGTTTCATAGTCGGATCATGCTGGTTCGTAAACACATTCAAGTGTATCCCGCCTTACACCTTTAAACCAAATTTCATCAAAATCGGACAAAAATTACTCGAGTTATCGCGTTCACGGACACATTTATAGCTCTATATATATATACATCTACGGTATATAAAAATTGGAACGAATGGTGTTTTTGGCCTCTTGGGACATCAAAATAAAAAAGTAAATCGGTCCCGGACTTAGGTCTTACCGTGCCACCTACGGTACCAAATAGCTACTTCCCTAGTAGTATCCTGCCTTACACCTTTAAACCAAATTTTATCAAAATCCGATAAAAATTACTCGAGTTATCGCGTTCACGGACACATATATAACTCTATATATATACATCTACTGTATACAAAAATTGGAATGAATGGTGTTTTTGGCCTCTGGGGACATCAAAATGAAAAAGTAAATCCGGTCCCGGACTTAGGTATTACCGTGCCACCTATGGTACCAAATAGCTACTTCCCAAGTAGCAATATGTTTAAAATCTATTTTATATATCAAAAGTTTGTATTAATGACCCTTTTATATAATATTTTAAAATGTATTAAATATTTAAAAAATATGTTCCAATAATATATTTTAGTGGATAATATTAAATAAAAATGTATATAATATTTCACTTCCTACCATCCCATGGGGCCTAAACATAAAAACCCAAAATAATAAAGATTTAGAATGAAAAGCACAATTATTATCAGTTGAGTTTAATTGATTAAAGTTCATAAAAAAACAAATTTTGAAAAACCTAGACAAAATTGTTTTTGCCCAGATGGGTTTTGAACCTGATTCCTTACCTCTGAGCAGGTCCGTGAAGTTGGCGTACCCATATTAGCGTATCCACTTTTGATCATACCAATCGTTAGTTCATCGTTAGTTCTCGATAGCTCCCAAATTTTTTCGTTAGTTCTCAAAAAATAAAAAAGTTATAGCCGATTATAAGTGGGTACGCTAACTTCACACTTCCGGGTTCTAGCACGCGCCGTTTTCTGAGGAGAAATGTTTACATCTATATACCAATCGTTAGTTCTTCGTTAGTCCTCGATAGTTCCCAAATTTTTTCGTTAGTTCTCAAAAAATAAAAAAGTTATGAGGCATACAAAGTGGGTACGCTAACTTCACAATTGTACAATTTCCAGCGGGAACAGTTTTTTTACTATAAATGCCTATATCTATATACCAATCGTTAGTTCTTCGTTAGTTCTCGATAGTTCTCCAAAATTAACGTTAGTTCTCAAAAAATAAAAAAGTTACGAAGCATAAAAAGTGGGTACGCCAACTTCACAGTTATAGAATTTCCAGCGGGCACAGTTTTTTTACTATAAATGCCTATATCTATATACCAATCGTTAGTTCTTCGTTAGTTCTCGATAGTTCTCCAAAATTAACGTTAGTTCTCAAAAAATAAAAAAGTTACGAAGCATAAAAAGTGGGTACGCCAACTTCACAGTTATAGAATTTCCAGCGGGCACAGTTTTTTTACTATAAATGCCTATATCTATATACCAATCGTTAGTTCTTCGTTAGTTCTCGATAGTTCTCCAATATTTACGTTAGTTCTCAAAAAATAAAAAGGTTAAGAGGCATACAAAGTGGGTACGCACACTTCACAATTATAGAATTTCCAGCGGGCACAGTTTTTTTACTATAAGTACCTATATCTATATACCAATCGTTAGTTCTTCGTTAGTTCTCGATAGTTCTCCAAAATTAACGTTAGTTCTCAAAAAATAAAAAAGTTACGAAGCATAAAAAGTGGGTACGCTAACTTCACAATTGTACAATTTCCAGCGGGAACAGTTTTTTTACTATAAATGCCTATATCTATATACCAATCGTTAGTTCTTCGTTAGTTCTCGATAGTTCTCCAAAATTAACGTTAGTTCTCAAAAAATAAAAAAGTTACGAAGCATAAAATGTGGGTACGCCAACTTCACTATTATAGACAGTGAGTGAATAGATGAATATTAATCAATGAAACGCCTACATGTACCGGAATGGCATAACCGGGTGATATATATACTAGGAATTATATACTTAATCTTTGGCTTTAAAATCTCTAATGTACTGTCTAACCTGGGTAGATGTAAAACTGTTTTTTTAATCTGTCATTTAATGTTTTCTTCTCTTCTCCTCAATCAGTTTTCAGTTCATTTTATTTCATTCTGCTCCTGTCCTGGGATTCCTGGGAACTCGGAAGTGGCGACAAACATAATAACGTAAAGAGATGGACGTTCCATTTGTGTTCAATTTATTTAGGTGTTTTGTTCATGTTTCTTGAGGGTATATTACAATAATGTCGCTTTCAAAATTATTCACAACTTATGTTTTGAGTGAAGTTTATGTTAAGAATATGTTTTTCATTCATTAAATCACTTTAAGTGTTAAGAAACCTGCCTTAGTCCTAGCCATCGGCAGTTCTGGATGTTTATTGACATTTCAATTTATTTGGTAAGTAATGAATTAAGTTACACCTATTTCATTTCTTTAAAATCATCATTTAATGTTAATTTTATTATTAGTGGTTTATTTATTATCATAATAATATTAAAAAAGCCCATTTTATGTTCGTCCGTTTAAGTTACTTGAGCCGAGTCCGTCAACAATCTGGAGAAACTGGACCTTTCCCTCTTGTTACCTTAAAGGTATTTCTTACCTTGATTAGGCCTAGGGCTAAGTTGCTAGTTCATCTTAGATATTATTATTATTTAGGCCTAAACTTTAAAATCTCATCCCTCCATCAAAACAGTATGGTAGGCTATAAGTTAAGTTAACATTATTTAAGTTAACTTAGGCCTAATAAATGTAAGTTACATGTTTTCAGCAATAAACTTAAGTTATGCAAATGGATCTGGTTAGGCTAACCCTAAGGTTGTTAACTTATCTTATTTTCCTCATTTCATTAGCAATGAGTTATGGAATCATAACAGATTGAATTGCTGTCCCTCATAATTTATCATTCTTTTTTTTGCTTGTATCTACGCTAGTGGCATTTTTGTAATGAAGTATGAAGTCAAACACTTTTAAGGGAAAGCGGTCCAAACCCATTAAAGTTTTATGGATGTGCCGGGGATTGAACAACCCGTCCCTCCCGCACCCAAGTCCGAAACGCTAACCACTAGGCTAGCAACACACCCATTTTGAAGAACTGTAAATAATTTGTCTGGGTAAACCTTAATAAGTGAGCTACTTACTTTATTCTGAAATTAGCGACCATACAAAGGTATTATAAGCCAAGTATGAATGGAGATGAGTGTAGGATGAGTGGCGCGATCTTAAAGTCTTGTTAGTGACTAAGTTTAAGGCCGACACGTTCCTTTAAACACAGCTGTTAATTAATAACTTAGCCCATACAGCCAATGGCAACTAAGGGACCTACAGTTTAAAAAGTGAACCACATTACTTTTGCGTACCTGATTTCAACACAACTTAAAATACTTCTTGCTACACTGGTTCTTTTTCACCATGAGCAGTAAAGAAAAATGCACACTTATAGGCCTACACACAAGTTGAGAAGTCAGCTTCAAGCAAGGAAAAACACCACAGTGCATGTCAACCACAGAAGAAAGAGTAAACTAAATCACACTGGCTACCATTTATTCTGTGAATACAACATCATAAGTTAACCCTTAACACGGCACTGGAAAACAGCTGCAACAGCTTAGAATATTGAAAGAGGGTGTGAAGACATTAGAAATAAGAGAACTCCCATTCTTGACTAAGTTTGATATTAATCACAAGTCACAGAAAAGTAAGATAGCCTATGGAGGATACATTTAATGGTACACTTAAGTGGTGTCTAGCATCAGTTGCTGGTGTCTAGAGCAATTCTATACATCGTCCCCTTTCCACCTCGCCATCAGGTACTACAGGGCTCGCAATGAGCTGTACAAAAATGATAAATGACTATTGCTGTTTGGGCTCTTCCTTGCTCGGTACAAAAGTACATTTCCGCCCCACCATAGCAGAGCTAAAGTGCACGGTTGTCCCATAAGCTTGTATCCTCGCTGTATCTTACTTTAGCTGTGATTAAGTGAAGAATTGGCAGGCTGGAAATCATTAACCTACCTATTAAAGATACATTGATTCTTTATAAAATGGTTCCATATTTTTTCTGTTCAGCTAAATTCTCAGTTTTCTCTGAACCTTGTGATTGGTAAGTTAGTATTGTTGATTAAAAAGCCAAACTAAAAACTGCAGCTGCTAAAGTTTTATAAGGACAAGAATAAACATTAATATGACTTTAGGCCTATAGCTTCCTCACCATTTTATTATTTTTCATAGTAAGTGCTTGAGTCAGTGATGTTAACCAAAAATGGAGCATTAGTATGTCAGTGTCAGTGTCACAGTTAGTTGAGTTTAAAACTGTTCGTGGGTATTCGTGGGTAACGTTCATTACAGTTACCTAAGTCATAAAAAAGGGAGATCCATAGAGTATTAATTTTAAACTATAAAAAAATATGTGCGTATTAACGTTTTTGGACATTTTATCTTTTATATATAGGTGATACAAGGGATTATTTTCTGTGATTCGAACATTAGACAAACAATGCAATTCATACAAGAAGGTATAAAATTATGTATAATCAAAAAAAGTTTAGGTAGGTACATCAATAAAAAACTTTAGGCCTACTAGACATATTTATAACGATAAATATCAAATAAAAAAACACCATAAATGACAAACGGAGAACTCTGGGAACCTTGAAGCGTGAGCGGTGACTTATGAGAGCAGTCTCCGTCCTTCGTGACTCTTCAGACCTCAACTTATTAACTCTGTACATTAGCTCAGGGGAGAGTGAAATGATGTTCAATCGGTTTCTTAGACAGAGGCGTTTGAGGTGTACAGTTACTATTGAAACTGCTGGCCGGTGATAACGCATATTTTTCTATAATATTAAATGCGATCAGAGGAAAACTTCATTGTGACACCTTTGAAGGGTTAAGTTAATGAAAACTCTAAAATAGTCCTCCACTGAAAATCACCAGATATCATTTAAAAGGTTGGTTACACCTTTGGTTGCCAACACCAACTATAAATGCAGTAGCAGCAGGGGGGCCGCGAAGCTTTTCAAATTAGTAAGGAAAAAAATAATCAAATATAAATTAAAATTTGCATAGTTTAAGACCGCTCATTGTGTCCAAAAGAAATCCGATTATTTATTGTGTTTACATACTGATAAATAAAGTATGTAACATAATACACTAACAAATGAAAAAGAATAAATGCATATCTGCAATCAATGGAACAAGATACCGTACCGTTTGCGCCCTCCTGAATAAATAACCTGCAGGTGCCCTCGAGTAATTTTGTGATCTTTGCAACAGCTACCCAGCTAGGAGCGTTGCTAAATAAATACTCTACTCAATTTGAAAATATAATATATATATAATATATGTCCGTTAGCACGATCACTCGAGCAAAAATGATTCTATTTTGATGAAATTCGGTATAAACGTGTAATCCTACATTTATTCTAACGAGTTTGCAAACCAGCATGATCCGACCATGGGAACAGGGGTTTATGGGATAAAAATGGGTTTTCAGTTTTTACCCTAAAAGCAAAAAGTTTTGAAATTTGTTTCTAAACCATTTTGTAGAGCTTGAAAAAATTTAGTATTAATGAAGCGCTGTTGTTTGCCTAAGGGTTAGGGAGAAAATTCTAAAAAAAGTTTAATTTAAAATTCCCTTGTTATTCTTATGGAGAAAATGAAAACTGTTGTAGTTTACGTGTTTATGGATATATATGTTGATGAAATGTTGCAAATTTATCTATTTCAGTATAGGACTTTGACGTATGGTCAAAAAACACTTTTTACTTTGCCCATAGTAGCAAACCTAAGCACTTGTTAAATCTAATGTTATTTAAGTTGGGAATAGGCCTAAATATTTCTTATTTATGGAAATATTTGAGTAAAAATTTAATCAGACAAGTTGAAATTTGCTTAGTCTGCAGGTTTGCTGCAGCGGGGTATCTAAACCTGTTTTGGTAAAATTTCTATAAAAATCCAGACATTTTCTTTATGCGTCAAATTTTGATTACTGTTTTAATACTTTTGTACAAGTGTATTTTTGTGTAGTTAAACATCATCAAGCATTAGGCCCATTATTTTAAAATATGCACCAAACCAACACATGAAAATTTTTACTTTTGTTACCAAAAGCACAAAAACATAGACCTTGACATCTTGCCTTATTCTAACTTTTGTTTGTTAGAATTTAGTGATAAAAAATTAGGTTTCACTTAGCAGATTAAAACAACCAAATAACAATAGAAATTAAAAGAATAATGGATGCATGTTACATTTTCTACATTCTTAAATAAAAGCTAATAAAATCATTACAACAACCACCCATTATATTTTCCTTGTTCATATTAATTTCTCAGTCCAAGCTTGACTTTGGATATACAGCTAGACATCACATGTCTTTAAATGAGCTGCAGACAAGCCATATTAGGCTTTTGCAGCATGGTGTTCAATAACCTTAGTAGGCCTAAAAATTTATTTTTAAATTTGTTTCAAATAACTAAATACATTTTGAGTTTAAACAATGTAGGTTATATGAAGCAGCCGGTGGCAGTTTTTAAAGCTAAGATAATACATCGTAGTTGAATAAACCTGTAAGATTTCACACTATTATTAAGCTTAGTCTATATTTTCTCCTAGTTTTTCATAGTTATTGAGGATTTAAAATAAGCTATAGGTTACAATGAATTATCTTCACATTTTGCATGTTAAAATAGTTTGTCCACCAGTAAAAATACTTTTTTCAGTTGCATACTCTGTTGGTAGCTTAATTGAACTGTGATATTAACATAGAAATGGAACAAGCACCGGTACTAACAGGTAGTGTACATCTATAATCAAGGCTCAACTAGATTTTAAGGGAAATAAGAAATTTAGGTAAAAATTGATTAACACAGAGTTGACTGATAAAAAAGTTAAATATCATAGCAATTACTCTATATTAAATGTAACGATTAATGTACATGCAGAGGTACTACAGGAAGTTGAGGTTACGCTTGACCTCAGTTGGTTTATTGGTGTGTGTGTGTGTGTGTGTGTGTGTGTGTGTGTAAATGTGTTATCAGCACGTCCTGTGTTGTTGCTGCCATATCAGCACTAACTGTTTCACAACTGTAAACAGACATTCCAGACCTTTGTCTTCTGTTTATGCCATTCTTTGTTGTACATTCGTATAAGTGAATTTATGACAATGTTTTATTATGGTTAGATTTTTGTTTGAGAATTTAACTATTAGATAACAAATGCTTCTTTAAGTTTTGATTGCCCGTTTGATTGTTTTGTACTTATGTGTGTAACTTTCATTAGGGGAGAGTGGGGCACATTTGAACGGTTTAAATTTGCCGTCATTTTTATACTCGCAGGCCATTGGACCAGCTGTAAAATGTTGCCCTCAAATAGAACAACAGGTTGCATTCATCTCCCTCCATTTCTGATCAGTTCTTAGTTTGTTGTTGGGAAAAAAAGTTTTAGAGCGCCACAAGAAAACTTTTTTAGCAGTAGGGATTTGTAAATTTTCCATAGAAACTACATTACAGATAAGTTTGATCCATTTACCTTATGGCTTATACATATTTAGGTACAATTATGCATTTCACATTGATAAATTACGATTCAAAAAGACATATTTTAACTTTTTGCAAAATGGTGCCTAGTGGTGTAGATTTGAACAGAGTCTGAGGGGTACATTTGAACACCATGTTTTCCTCTGGTAAGCATGTTGTTCAAATGTACCACAACTGATTATATTTTTTTACTATACAAGACAGTAATGAATAGTAATAATTTAAGAAGTGACTATAAGCTTCCTCAACCAACAATGAGTGTGAGAACTGCACGTGCAGCGAACAAATACTATAATTTTGCTATTAACTTTGCAACATTTAGCTACAAATAATGTGAATCTAAAACATTAAATGAAGAATTAGTTCCAATAGTAATAAGAACTGTTTTTATCAACTCACATGCATAACAATTTCTGTAAAATAAAAATTTTCATTTTACTAATTAGTGTGTTCAATTGTGGGGTACTTTTGAACGATTTGCATACCTTTGTGAAAACAGATATTGCACATTAACATGTTAACTTGGAGGGTTTAAAAAATAACTTTTTAAATTAAAGCCAACATTATGTTACGACTAAATGTAACAATGTTTTTTTATTAAAAACACATAAATTTATTTATAAAAAATTAAAGTTTTAAAAGTGTTCAATGTGCCCCACTCTCCTCTTCATTTTAAATATTAGATAGGGCCTATTGAAATTATAAATTATCGAGACACCAGCTACACTGCAATTGAACCAATGTTTTTTTTTTTTTTTTTTTTTTTTTTTTTTTTTTTGTCAGCGAATGATTTAACCTGGTACTCAGCGATAGTAATTCTGGAATAAAATTTTCTTAATAATATGTAAATAGGGTTTTCAAAGGAATTAAAATGCAATTTATTTTTTGGCTTTGCTTTCAAATTTAGACATTTATTTGGTAGTTCCCATATTCCTTACATCAAAATAATTTTTACTTGCTTATTTCCTATTAGAGTCAAATTCTATTTGAATTGGAACTGTTATACTATTTAGCCTATATCCTATCTTTTTGCGACTGGGAAGAGTCTCCTATTTAGGTCGGCCATTTCCTCAAGTGGTAATTTGGTATTCTAATTTTCCAACAAATACACGATTCGTCACAAGTCCAGTAGCAAAGAAATGCAGATGAGGTGTTGTGCCAGAACTCAAACAGTCGGCTGAGTGTAGAGTAGATAAACATCTTGTCCCAGTTACTGAGATCTGGACACTCCAGCTGTGTGAATGAACTGCCCTTGTTCTCTGTACTGTGTAGCTCTCTAACTCTCTCACACACACACACATACACACTGACGGTGCCACATGTTGAATAAGTTAGGTGATGAATACCAGATAGCCGTGCTTTTTGTGCTCTGTTTTTTACTCTGATCTTTGTATTGGGAACAGTTTGGATTTTTGTTTTTGCTTAAGGCAAGATTTTTAGGAAATGTAATATCTATTCCTGGTACTTTCCTGTTAAAGGGAACATTCATTATTATCGATGGTTTTTTTCTCGGTATATCGATATTAACAAATTCAAACATATCAGCTGACAACTACGATAAATATTTGTTCAGTATCAACAAACAATAATAAAATGAAACTGTTCTAAAAAAATAACCTAACATAACTTGCTGTAACATTTAAAAATTCCGTGTTTAACCTACCTTTTCTGTTAGCTATCAAACGGTTAGCTTAGAACAGATTCATTTCTTAATCCATATAATAGACTGTTTTAGCCTAAAAATGATCAGTAGTTAGTTGTTGTCAATTTGTAATGGATCGGAAAACAAAAATATCGATATATCGAAAAAATCATTGATAATAATGAATGTTCCCTTTAACAGGAAAGTACCCTATTCCTTTACCATTAAAAGAGTGTATTGTTAATGCTATTATTTATCCACAATCAAATAATCTACATTCAAGCCTATGATTATTATACCGTGTGATTTTGGTTTGTCTAAAGTATTTTGTGTGGATTATATTATGTAAGCTGGTTATATACATTTGACTATTGATGAATTTATGTAAAATTTTAATAAAGATGATTTTGATTTGCTCATTGAATAACATGTCAAATATCTACGCTAATGCATTATTAGGTTTCTTTTTTAATTTTCATTTACAAACGAATAAATTTAATGTGGCTAATTGAATAAAAAGAATTTTTCCTAAGCCTGAAAGTAATTTTACAAATTTTAAAAGAACAATATTACTCTATGAACTCTCTTTGTAGTTCCTCCCTCATACTTATGATCAGGTCACTGCACATTACCTTTGTGTTGTTATAGAACTTCATACATCATTAAGCATTTGTTTCCCTGGTTGCTCACAATTTTTATTATCAATATTTTAACACATTTTCTTCAACTGGTTGATTAGAAATAAAAACTATAATTTAAGGTACTGATTAAAATATAGAAAATGTTCAGATTATTTTGGTGGTCCAATTAAGTAAAATGTTAATTTCTACGTTCCCGAGTTTTTCCTCGTCTTAGAAGGAAGACCAATTTTTTAATAAGTACAGTTGTCTATTCTACGTTTACTCGACCTGATTTATTCTTCAAAATTGACCTGATATATTAACTTGAAACTGAAAATTTAGTTTGCTACAAAAATGTTTACTATCAACAAAAGCATAGTAAATAGCAATTATTGCTGTAATTTCAAATTATGATGATTAAGTCCTGTATGTATCTTACTTACATACAGATTTATGTATGTATCTTAAGTAGCCTTAAGAAAGAAGTCTTTTAAGTGCTCTTAAAAGTCTTTGGTAGGATATAATAAAGAGTAGGCCTATAACAAAACTGCTTAATCAAATAGATCTTTGGTTATAAGATACTGTTATTATGGCTTTAGTCAATGAATTCAGGAACACAATTACTATGTGAATATTTCAACTTTTCCCTTTTCATCAATCATTTAATTACAATCCCTTTTCATCAATCATTTAATTACAATACTGTACTGCATCTAGCTGGTAAGAGTTTATCAGTCAATTGAAAAGTGTTTACATCCATTTTTTTGGTTGTAGGAAACATCAATTTCCTCAATCTATCGGAAAGAGAGTTGTCATTCAAGGGCAATGACACTTTTATTTGTACATTGCGTTTGTACACTTACACTTATCTCTGATGAGTCAACTTGTTGATTCAACGTCCTATTACTATTTCTGTTTAAAACCAATTATCATAATTTGCCGTCAAGTAGTCTACCATGTGATAGCTCTAATATACTTGTCAATCTCTTTGATTATTATTTATGTTGCAGTTAAATATGTACTTATCAATTAAAACTGTTAGTTAAGAAAGTGTAAACAGGTTTCATCCTTTGGTTGTAAATGCTGTCAGTGACATTTAAATTTCCAATTAAAGTGTAAAGTTTTGCGTTTCTTGGGTCAGGATATAGACTCTTTCCAGTCACCTTCGGGGACCGAGCTATGGCTCGGTATAGTTTATTTTAGTTTTTGTAAAAGCAATATAAAGGAAACTTACGTTTTATTTATAGCTAATTTTGGCTTTTATTATTTAAGTTTCAGTAGAATTTCAATTTATTGTGATGGCAATTTTAACCTGGCAATCCACAACACATAAATTTATTTATCAGTCGATGGTAAAAATCAATCGACTGATACGCAGTCATTGATTGGCAATGATACGCAAATATGCTGATACGCCTAAACTTGCGTAAAACTTGTTTTGATAATTTCTTTAAATTAAAACATCTGATTACCTCGGGAATTAAGTTTTGGTAGGAGAGAGCCAAGTTAAATAATCAGCATTTGATCGGAACTATATTTTCACCTATATCGAGTAATCTTTGCTCAATAGTAACAACTGATGTTTTCCACTTTGTACTGTATTTTATAATTCTCTAGTATACTGTAGATAGCTTGTTATAACCACGTGTTAAAAGTCTTTTGTTTACTTTTTCCTTGTTATTTTGTTCAACCAACATGATGACTTAATAAGTCATAAGGCCAATGTTAACAAATTATGACTTTCAATTTCATTTTTTTTACCTAATTAGATTTTTGTTGGCAGATTTAACTGCATTAAACATGCTTTTAGGCCAGAAATAAATTATTTACAACATTTGAAGGAAATCGTTGAAACCGTTTTCAAAATCTCTGTGCAAGCAAGCAAGCAAGCATACATACAAGTAAACATTGCTCATATAAGAGTATAGGTAGAATACAGCACAGTCCCACAGACTGTGTAATGCTGACCAGAATAGTGCAAAGTTTTAGGAATGTTGAATTATCAAGAATTGTGGCCAAAAATTTAAACTGGAACCTAAAACAGTAAGCAACATTTTATTTTACTTTCATTTCTGTTAATAGATGGTAATGATCTATTAATATTAACTTTAATAGATAATAAATTAATTAATAACACATTAAAATTTAACTTAAAAAAAAATCAAAATTATGTTACTGACTAACAGATTGACTGACTAGCGCATATAGTAAATGAGGTATACATATATGCAAAGAGTTGATTCCCGGTCTTCATAACGTAGCTAAAATAATAGAAACAAAATGTTGTCTACCCCAGCGATCAGTGTGGACGTACATGAACTAGACATGAAAAACAAGCTTCAAAATTTACAATAGGATGAGGAGTCTACTTGTGTTGCTTAGTCTATGGTTATACTAGCTTTACCTTACTCAGCAAATTCGTTTACTGTCTCTACATATATGATACTTATGTTTCAGATTCAACATGACCACAACCAAGGGCCCCGGTCTCTACGACTTCCTCATAGAGGCCGAACTTCAGCACTACTTCACTGCGCTCAAAAATGATCTGAAGGTAAGCTTGAATGTTGCTTGGGAGTAACTATGAGGTATGAGGTAGACAAAACAATTAACATTCAATATTAGTGTTTTTAACTTATCATTTTGAGATTAATATCTTCTCTAGCATCAATTTTAGACTCAAAACCTATGGCCAACTAGTAAAAGTACAGGCATATTTAATAAAAATGTATTGAGTGTTTTGGCATTTGAGTATTACATAAATAAATACATACTGACACTAATAGGTGTACACAGAATAGTTTATTTGATAAATAGGAAAATTAGGGAAGACAAGAGTTCAAGCAAAAAGGTAGCCTAAAAGAATGCTACCAATGGTTAATATGTCATTGTCAGTATCTATTTATTGATTTTGTTTATGTAAACTTATATGTAAAAAAAACTGTTTGGTTTAAATACTTATAATGATCAAGTTTTAACTTTGAAAAAAGATTTCAAAACAACTCAGATTTGCTAAGGTAAATTATAACTTTTTTATCATTAATCAAATACAGATTAAAATGGACACTGTCATACTGAACACTTGTCAACACTGTGAGCTTATCAAGTATATTGGGTTGGTTAATCTTTTATTTTCCGATGGGAACATTTACAGTTCACAAGAACTGAATATAACATTAGTTGTATAAGTTTTGTCTCTTGGATGCAGTTTTTATTATTGATGGCAACTTTCAGGTCCAAACTGCAGCTCAACTCAAATTTGTCTCTGAAGAAGACCTTCAACAGCTGGGAATGTCCAAACCAGAGATGAGAAGACTGAAAAAATATTTTCATAAGCATTTTCCCCAAAACTACATTTCTAAGTTAAAAAAGGTTAGTTTATTGTAGTGGTTACAATTTATAACCATTTAATTTAACTTTTCTTATGGATTTGTCCGATAATTGATTGGATGTAATATTTTGGTTTTGGTAACGGCATAAGTAACTATTTGTTTACGTTTTACATGTAAACAAGAGCATGTTGATCAAACTGGTTCAGTGTTTTTAAATGCCTGATCAAGGTTTTAGGCTAGGTACTTAAATTGGCCTAGAGAATCATATTGAGATTAAAACCAAGCAAGTTTACAAACCTCTTTTGAAACAACTTTTTCATAGTAAAAAAATTAAAATAACTATAAATGCCACAAAAAGGGTTTTGAGTATATGTAAGAATGTTTTAAAAGTATGGCTCCTTTGGTCTCCAACACTTAACAATAACTCCTTTAGCAGAACATTTTTGGGTTGACAAAATTTAGCTGTACCACTGTTTATGAATTAATATAAAAACTTAATTTAATTTCTCCAAATAAAAATTATCTTATAAATCTTGTTTCAAAAGTTTTACAATATATGTATTTAGTAAGTATAGCTTATTAAAGAGCGGTGAGCGTGTTGTGATGACTAATCATGTTCCCATGGTTCAGACTGGTTATCGTAATCAAGGTTATGTTACTCAAGGACAACTCATACATGGCAATTGAGAGGCATAGTCTGTGTATATTGAGGTCATACACTTGCAACTGAGATTGAGGAGTAGTGGAGCCTGTCTGATGTATTAATACTACTTAATAAAAATTTAAATTGAAATAAGTTTATTTCCTCAACAAAGCGTTACAAAATATAGAGGAAAAAGCGTTATAGGCAAACAGTAGCCTAAATTTAAATTAAGAAAACAAAAATAACTTGAAGATATAAATTACTGAAATTATAAAAACTTAAAATATTATACAAAAATAATAAATAAAAATACCAAATAATTCCTATAAAAAATATCCATAAGTCTACATTGACTTCAGTGGTGTGTGCATAGAATTGAGTCGTAAACAAATATATGTTAGTTTAATAAGCTCAAGATAATTTTATTAGATTTTATCTGTATCTCTTTAATACATTTCAATTCTTCATTTCTTATAGCTCCTTGTTACTAACAACAACTAGTTGTTGCACAAGTTGAATTCTCTTGCAGCAGTGTAATTACGTTTTAATATGCTAGTAGAATTTTAATTGCCCTCACAAGCTGTAATTGGCTTGATCAGGGGAGGATTAATCAAACAATTGTGGGAACTTATCAAGGCCAGTTGAAATAATTGCTTCACCATTTATTAAATTGTGACCCAATAAAATCCCTGTTGGAAGCAATGAAACTATTTTAAATGAGAAGTTTATTCCTGTCAAGTTTACAAAACAGTCATTATTGATAGATATAGGATATGTGTCAATACACCATATTTAGATAATAGAGTTAATCATTTATACTTTTCTTTTTTATTGTTTGATTAAATAAAATAGTCTAGTGAATAAGGACACGGGAACTCTAAATAGTCTATATTTCTTTTAGTTAAAATGAATACTTTGCCTTTATTCCGGTTATTTTATATTGTCCTATCCATGTACAACAGTAAACCTATGAGAGAGCTCTTCTATGAATGGGAACAAAAATACAGTTTTATATTTTTGTTCTGTTACCTTATAATCAAATTTTAGTTTAAAAATATTATGTTGCAAAAATAATTGTAATGTGAACATTTGAGAATTTATACAAATACAAAACGATACTGTAGGGATTTAATTGCATCATTGTTACATTGATTGCTATGTCAAACCATGACCTGTGGTGGAAAGCTGTTCCATATTCTCTGCCGCATTCACATTAATTTCTCCCAGTTCTGGCAATCTACCCATTGGCTAGTGGCCATTTCACGGAATAGTATTTCTGGCAAAGTAAAGCTGACTTGTATTTACTGTCCTGGCCGTAAACATGGTTGACCTTGTTTAGTTTTGTCGAGTTGTATTGGATCTACTACCAAACACACCTTGTGTTAATCTATAAAACGGAAAGTAAATAAAAGAAACGTCTTATAACACTTATAAGTGTTATAAATTTAAATTTAATAACATAAAATTTAATAACGTAAATTTAATAACACGTACAATGCTGATCAAGAAGTTATTTAATCTATAAAAGTAGGATGTTAATTAAATTTAAAAAATACATTGGTAGGCTATCCAGTAATTATTTGTAAAAAAAAATGTGCTTGCATTTAGTTTTTAATGAAATTGAAGAAGTACGGTAGTTAAATTTTTTTTACATGCCAATACAATGTTTCTTTCTCTATGTTGAGCCGTGACTTGTCCACCAAGCGTCCCACCAATGTCACGCCTCAGTTTTTTTTATAGTGCGAGTGCTGGCTTTGCGCCGGAACTCAATCGGTTTGGGTCTGGCAGCAGTCCTGCAGACCCCGGGGCAATTTTTCCGCTGTCGGACACATTTTCGGCAGAAGGACAGCGACTGTCATTACTACACGCACACAGTTTGTTTTGTTATTGTTGTGCCTCAAAATGTATCCGTGTCCATCGATATCATTTTCTGTTTTATTGTTTTCACTTTAACAAAAAGTTATGTAGTTAAGCGGTTTGCCGTCGTAAGATGAGGTCCCGGATGGAAGCTTTTATTCTGCTGCTTCCGGAGAGGGTCGCCCGGGAAGACACTTCAACTTCTTCCTCTTCGGGCTACCAGTCACCCTGCTCTTGGGGCCAGTAGGCCGCCCTCCGCCACGTGCCACCGCCGCATACCACCAACAAGGACTATAAGGACTATTGTGCCGTCAATATAACCGCAAGTTATTTTGAAATTATGAACATTTCTCTTTGAAAAGGACTACTGATTAATGGGGGCCCCAAAAATGATTTATCACCTGTTAATTATCTTTATAGTATTTATTTATTGTTAATTCTTTCTAAAGTTTAATATTTACCGTTAACTTCTTTTATTTATTCTTAGTTAGGCCTAACTTTTACAGTTACCACTTTTCCAGTTTGTAATTCAGAAGGGTAAATTTTTGAGAAAGAGATGATTTAAAAGAATTCTTTGGATGGCTGACATTGTTGATTGTTGTTTTTTGTTGATTTTGATTAAATATAGGCTTTGTTCACTATTTGTTTTGTTTCTGATATTCACCCACGGCCTTTCACTTGTTAGGGATGTGGGGCGGCCACTCGCACTGTCACTATGGGGGGGCATGCTTCCAATAGTTGTTCGTCTGGGGGCGGTGCGAGGGGTCGGCTCAGATGGTGGCAGAGCGTGGTTTTTTGTGCTCTATCCACGAAGGGCCGTGGTTGGATTTGATTTTTGGGTGATGCTGGTCTGGCAGTCTTAGGAATTTTTTGAAGAAATGTTGTCGTGGTGGGGTAAGCACACTGTTGTTGTTTGTTTTTATTAGGAGCTCGCCCTTGGCCGAGTCACCGGGTGGAATCTGGTTAATGACTTGCATCCTTTGGGAGCAAGAGTGTCTAAAGCATGGCCAAACCCAAAATTGAAACTGTGTGTGTGTTTACCTCATCACACAAATGTTAGGTGTTGTTGTTTAGTGTATGTATGTTGAGTGTATGTCGTAAGTGTAAGTCCGTGTTTTTGTTTTGGTGGCTAAAGTGGTGTGTATGGGCAGGTTCTTCTGTTTGGGACCTCATCTGACTGTAGGCATTTCAGTCCAGAGTCTTTAGTTAGTTAAGTTTGTGAATTGTTCGTTGTAAAAAAAAAATTTTTTGTGTGTGTTTTGAAGGTAAGCCGACTGACTGCGAGCAAAATGGGTTTGTTTGCTCCACTGCCCAATCCCATTGCTGGGGTTTTGAGCGACATTCGCCCGGTTGATGGTTTAGAGGTGGAACCTTTGTTAGAGTTTTTGGGAAAGGTGTTGCACCTGAAGGAGTTCCCAGGCATGGAGGACTCAGTAGTGTTGGAACTGCTGGTTCCACTCTGCCTGAGACCTCTTGGTGACAAATTGTTAGATTGTTTGAAACGGGGAGTAAATTTTGACAATTTTCACAGTGAAGTACTTGAGCTCTTTGTCCCCTTCAGGGTCATGGAGAGATTGAAGGTTGAGAGAGTGTTTCGTCCTCAAAAATTTGATGAAACTCTCAGTCAGTATGTGGGTGACATTCGTGGCGTGTGGCGTGTCCTACGGCTGGACATCCCTGAATCCCAACTGGTGGACATTGTCTTGCAGGGGTTGAAGCCTGAGGAGCGGTCCAGACTGATTTTTGCTCCGAAGCCTTCTTCTTTTGCAGACCTGGATAGGCTGGTCATCCTTTCACGGAGCGTTCAAGACGCTGATTGTCAGAGGGAGCATGTTTCGGGGCATCTTCCCCAGACCGTTCTCCATCCTGTTGTAGCTTCCGTGGGTCAAGGTCCTGAAACACCGCAGAGACAGAGGCGTCCTGTTGTTTGCTTTGGCTGTGGTCAAACAGGTCACATGAGACGAGAGTGTCGTCAGAGGGTTAATCTTGGGACTTTGTCCAAAAACCTGAGTAGCTCACAAGGGGAAGGGGGGGTTTGCCTAAACCGCCCTGTGAGAAAGCTGTTTTGGAGAAAGTCAGCAGGAATTTGGTTTCTCTGAGTACTGCCCCTTCTGGGAGTGCTGGTTTTGGGGAGCCTCTGTCGCGGGGAATGAGGGAGCTTGCATGCATGGGAGTGAAAGCGGCGCGCTCAACTTGCCCCCGACTCAACATCTTCTTAGGTAAAACGGTGCAGAAGGCCCTTGTGGATTCTGGGTCAGCCCGTTGTCTCATTTCCCTTTCCCTGTTTGAAAATCTAAAATCTTCTGGGCTAATCAAGCAAGTTGAGCGAAGTACCCACATCTGCTGGACTGCATCGAAATCCCCACTTCCCATCATCTATGAAGCCCGTTTGAAATTCAAGATTGCACATTTTTCTTGGGTGTGGAGTTTTTGGGTAGCCAAGGACCTTTGCATTCCTGTCATTTTGGGAGCGGATTTCACTAAGCATTGTGGCCTGATTTTGGATTTAGGCAGAGGCCAGTGCTTCTTTCGTTTCGCAA